AGTCTGCTTATCAACAACTCGAAAACCGAAGAATTCCACATTTCAAAGGGTGCCAACGACTGGAAGAACTGCAAATTCCTTGGTACATTACTTGACACGGAATCAGATATTCGACGCAGACTACGCTTGCAACTGTAGCTTTTGTGAGATGCAAAAGTATTTTCAACAGCAACAAAATTTACGTGAAGACCAAACTGAGAGTCTTCAACGCCTTCATCCCTAGTGTTTTGCTTCATAACTGTGAACTTTGGACGCTAAGCAAAAAGTTGACTGACGACGTTGATATCACACAGAGACGCTTTCTACGTAAAATCCTACGAATCTTTTATCCTAACATCATCACGAACGAAGACCTCTACAAACACGAACACGACGTGAACACGACGTGAACACGACGTGAAGGAAGTTAAAAGTATTCTGGAATTCCTAAAAATCGACTGTCCGATCGATGATGTAAGGCGATTGGGAAACTACGATGGCAAAAAAGACAGAACACTCATAATCAAAACAACCAGCGAACACCATCGACGGCTGATACTGCTATCGCTATACAAATTAAAAACTTACTCTAAACAGGTATATATGAGCAAGGAACTATCCCCTGAAGACCAAAAAATTGAAAACGATGCTTTGAAACTACGCCGAAAGATGATCGAAAACGAATACGACAAAAAACGTCTACGAATCAGAAACCTCAAGCTTCAACAATACACAAACGAAACTGACGACAAGAATCTAGACAACTGGAAAAATGTTCCGCCAGAACCATATCAATGACTACATGCTAAAAGTTTGCTCAGTATTCTAAATTTCAATGTCAGGAGCCTGCTAGACATTATTAGACGCATGACATTGGCAAATGCAGTTCTTACAAACGACTACGACATCATCTGTCTAACTGAAACATGGCTCACAACTGGCCTCTTTCTATCAAACTACACAATACACAGAACAGATCGACCCAATACGGGTCAGAACACTAAGCACGGCGGAGTCCTCATTGCAGTGAAAGGTTTAACTCATAGCAGAATAGAACTCAAAACCGAACTAGAATGTGCTGCCATCGAAATCAAATCTCGTCAGAAGCAGATAGTAATCTGCTGCTTCTACAATCCCCCCAAAAACAGCCCGTATAGAGCATCTCCCGACAACATAAAAGACGTCTTAAAACAGCTTCATGACTCGCTTAGTGACAACTCATCGCAACTCATCCTAACCGGAGATATAAATCTTGCAGAAGCAAACTGGGACAGCCTAAACTCAAACGACGAATAAGAAGCCAACATACTGGACACTCTAGAAAAGTACGATCTACATCAGCTTATCACGTGCCACGAAGGCAAGAGCCTCGATGTATTCCTTGCCACTGACCCGACTCTTGAGCTAAGTTCGGCTATCGACTCAGCACTAGAAGCACAATACTCATCAAACGGAAAAAAGTGTTCCGATCATCACGCATACAAAACTTATTTGTCCCTACCAACTTCGAGCAAAATAACAACCCCAGCTATTAAACGCGCATACCAGAAAACCGACTGGGATGATTTCAACAAACAAATCGTCAGCCAGCCATTTACACCATACTGCTACAGCAACATTGACGTCCTACTGTTACAGTGGTACAAATGGCTCCAGAACATCATCGACGAAAAAATACCCCGAGTCACCAAACACAGGGCAGAAATTCCACCCTGGATTAGATCATCCACCTCACATCAAATGAAGATAGTCGCGACAATGAAGCGTAAATACGCAAAAGCAAACTCACTCTCGCTACTTCTGAAAATCAAAAAAGCTGAAAAAAGCCTGAACGAAGAAATCAAAATGGATCAAGCCATATTCGAAGCAAAAGTATCCAAGAGCCGCCGTATTCAAAAGTATTCAAGAGCATATCTGATCTTCAGAAATATTTGAAATCGATACACAAAAAGCATCCCCTACCAGACGAAATGTTCCTTAATCAATCACCGGACACAACTGAAACAGCAGTAAACAATGAACAAAAATGTTCTCTGTTTAACAAATTTTTCACCCAAGTTTTCAGCAAACAAGGTGAACTAACCGTCAAACAAACTTACATAAAATCAGAAACAAACCACCTGAAACTATCCGAGGAAGAAATAACCAGATGCCTCCAATCACTGAAAACAAAAAAAGCATGCGGTCCGGACAACATTGGAAACATTATCCTGAAACACGCGACATCACTCGCAAAATCTCTAAAGCTCATTTTTCAAACCTGCATTAATAAAGGATCATTTCCACGCCAATGGAAAACCAGTGAAATAACACCAGTCTTTAAAGAAAACAACAAGGCAGACATATCGCAATACAGACCCATCAGTCTTTTGGCAAATGTATCAAAGGTATTTGAAAAAATACTCTTCGACCGATTATATCCAACAATCGAAACTAAACTACACCCAGCACAGTTCGGTTTCAGAAAAAACAGATCAGCGATCATACAACTTCTCTTGTTTCTGAACGAAATTTATCTGGAAAACGACATCAATGAAAACGCTGAACTATGGGTCCTATACGTAGACTTCAGTAAAGCCTTTGACAAGGTCCCACATCAACCACTGATATCCAAAATTGCAGAAATGGGGATTGGCGGGAAAATCCTTGAACTACTAGCCAGCTACCTAACAGCACGAAAACAATGTGTTAAAATTGATAGAAGCAAATCTCCAGTCACGCCAGTAACAAGTGGAGTACCACAGGGTTCAATACTAGGTCCGCTCATGTTCCTGATATACGTTAACGATCTTCCAGAATCAGTCAAACCGAGCACTTCTTTTGGCTACGCCGACGACTTTAAAGTAATTGCAAAGAACTACGAAGAAGCAATTGTCCTCGGAACGGAAATTGAAAAGTGCAGTCTCAAAAACCAATTGGTACTAAATATGGGAAAAAGTAAGGCACTACGCATTAAAGGAAATACAGAGCCTGTGAGTTCAAAAGGCGTGAAACTAGGCACTGTCAACTCCCAGAAAGACCTAGAAGTGATAGTGACAAAAAACATCTCGTGGAACGAAAACATTAAACGTAGGACCGGTAAAGCATGGCGAGCCTTCTTCAACCTCAAACGTAACATCTCATGCTATGCAAATCTCGAAACAAAATTGAACGCTTATGTAGGTTACGTCGTCCCTGTCATTTCCTATGCATCGCAGGTATGGTACCCATCAAAAACCGAAATGCGGGAAATCGAAAGAGTTCAACAAAAATCTACTACATGGATACTTAACTACTCCATCGGATACAAAGAGAGACTACGTACCCTGAAGATCTTACCACTCTCAATGTACATCGAACTCCATGATATACTGTTTCTTCAATCGGTCATGGACGGTAAATACAGCGTCAGTGAAGATTCAATTCCAATATCACTGAGAGAAAGCACCACGAGACAATGCAGCGAATTCGAGCTCAACACAAACCGCATCAGCAAAACAGACGAAAATTTCTGGACGAGAGCCTCGAAACTTTTCAATATACTCCACAAACAGTTTCGCGACAACCCGACGAAAAAACAACTGACAGAAAGTTACTTCAACTACTTTGAAAACAGTTACAATCAGCTAGACACATGCACCTGGCGTGTACTGTGTTCCTGTGGATCGTGTAACCCCTACCAAAAACTCATGCCAGCTGAAAACTGAAGGGTTGACACCCCTGGGCCAATGAGCCCTAAAGCTACTACTACTACTACTACTACTACTACTACTACTACTAAACGCACCAAACAAGAACCCTGGAGCACCCGTATCAAGCGAAGACGTCTGCCCTTTTTTGGACACGTTGTTAGACTTGACACAAAGACTCCTGCTAGACAAGCTCTCAGTGCGTACCTTGAACCTGCAAAAAATCCACCTGGTAGACAAAAAACATCGTGGGTCGCACTAGTTCAAAAATCATTAATTCTCTGAAGATTCTTCTGGACATTCACATTCCAGAGACTTACCAAATTACCGAGGACAGAAAGGAGTGGAGAAGAATTACAAAAAACCTGAAATTTAGTACAATTCCGGTTTACTGGATTTAATGCATTCTTACGACGATTGAAATGGAGCGGAAACTTCAAGCGTTGGAAGATGAAAGCTTTCACAACAAAATAACCACTATCGAAGATGACGCTCGACTTGGCATCAAAGCAAATGGACTCTGGGGAGGCCGATTCAGCCGAATCTTTTTGGATGTGAAAATTTTCAAACCGCATGCTAAATCCTGCCCTTAATATAAATCTGACGCTTACAAATATCTTGAGAGTGTCAAAACACTAAAATACTTACACTAATTTTTGCGTGTACCGGAGGATCAACACCAGGCTCTACAAAAACCGTCCAGAAAGTAGCAGAGAAACTAAGCGAAAAACGGAACGATTCATACTCGGACAAAATAAACTTTAAGAACAAAAATAAGTTTTGATTTTCTGAGGAGTGCAATCCTCTGCCTCAGGGGGTGCAAAAAATTTAAAAATACATCCAATATATACAATTCCATCTGTGCTATAATTATGGAGGGTAGATTTTGATTGACAATTCTCTAGATGCTTTAAAATCGACTTGATTTATTCATGAAGTTTTGCCGATGTATTTTTGTAGCGTTGGTATGGCCCTATCCAACCTGTGCACGTACCGTCGCATGACGGAAGGGCCAATTTTAATTGACCCCTTTTCTTGCAACTCCAGTTTTTTCTGTGCAGCGTTTATTCTCAATCGGATTGGCTTGATTCCCAATCTGATTGGCTTGATCTGACTCTTCACTTTTTTTAACCTTATGCTTTACTTGTTCCTAATTTATGAAATTCCAATGGTTTTTTGAATGCGTGAAATGATAAACTAGTAAAGCAATTTTGGTTACAATGAGAATTTCTGACCTTCTGATTTATAGGACCTGAAATTTTTTTTTCTAAGTTACCATTCTCCCAGTGTCTTTTTAAATGCTGTCCATTTGTTTTTGAGCCTGTTAAAGTCATGATTGAAATTTTCAGACAAGAATGGACTACGCATGGACGAAAACAAAGGATGAAGTGCTTAGCCATTTTGATGTAGATGAGTTTGGATTGACTCAAAGTCAGGTGCTGAAAAATCAGGAAAGATATGGAGCCAACGGTCAGTTGATATCCTATCGGTTATTTTTATTTCTAAGAGAAAACACGAGTTGATCAAATTTGCTTTGTTTCAGAACTGCCGGAGGAAGAAGGTATTGATTTGTAGTGTTCGTCGTATAGAAATTCGAATAATCTGTCTTGTTGTAGAGCGTGAAAAATTTAGTTGAAAATGAACTTAATTTAATTGAAATCTAACTAAAACACATTTGAAATGCCAAGTGTTTCTAATATGAATGTGATCTATTTTAGGCAAGTCCTTGATGCAATTAATATTGGAACAGTTTGACGACCTCCTGGTGAAAATTTTATTAGCCGCAGCATTAATTTCTTTTGTAAGTGTATTGATACCGTGCATCATATGTTGAATGGTTGCTAAATTTTTCGGTATTTTCTCCTAGTCATGTTTTCTACTAGATTCACCTTCATCCGCTCTTTGCCTAATTTTTGTCCGAATTTTGGAAGTTTTTTGAATTAGAATCGCTACGAATAGGTACGTGTGTAATACGATAGCACGCAAACTCCGTATACGTTTTTTTTGAATCGCCTAAAATTGGGCGCAAAAATCACACTACGCCATAGTTCTTCCAATCACTTTGGAATATTTTTTGAAACAAACAAACAGCCATAAGTCTAAAAACTGAAAAGGTTTTGTTCTCTGACCGATTAAGTTGTCAGGTAATCGATATTGCCAAAAAAAATGGCATTTTTGCAAGTACTGTACTTGCAATCAGTGTTAGTGTTTCTTTTTCAGACGTTGGCCTGGTTCGAGGAAGATGAAGACGAGGTGGTGACTGCATTTGTGGAGCCATTTGTGATCTTGCTGATCTTGATTGCCAATGCGACTGTCGGTGTATGGCAAGAGAGGAATGCAGAGAGTGCAATCGAGGCATTGAAGGAGTACGAGCCCGAAGTTGCCAAGGTCAGATTTATTTAAATAATCATTGCATAGAGTTTTACTTGTCTAGTAGATAGTTGATGGAACCCTCCCCATACCGAGGAGCCATAGTCCAAATAAGGTTTCATATAAGAAACCACTTGATTCTTTGTAAGCCCTTTGTTGTTTAATTTCAGCAGTACATAAACATGTTTTGGAAAATTTACAGACAACTGTAAGGATATGAGGCTTGAATAAAAAAGGAATTATTGATTATGCTTCGTACAAGTATCTTCTACTCCTTTTCCTCGTTGATTTTTGATACAGTGGGACTTGTACGTTTTCTTGGAAGAACCTGTAGTTCTTTTGATTTGTTGAGAATGAAGATGTTTTCACTGCATCACAAAATTGTTTGGCTGATAACTGACTGCGTATCGTCTATGTCGTTTTTTCCACCAATAAAATTTTTTTTGTCATCGACGAAATTTACAGGAACATACGAATTGGTTTTGTTCTTTGATCACCATAAGCAGCATTAAAACATAGCGGTTCCAAAAGAGTGCCATGCGGTACTTCGCTATTAGTTCGCAGCATTGTAGAGACTTCTGAATTTTTTGTGACGAAGTGCTGTCGATCCGCGAGAAAATTTTCACTATATGGGAGTTTAAATCCAGAATTTCAGTTAATTTTTTTTACTATGATCAATATTTGGGTTGCTTTGTCGAAGGCTTTTTTAAAGTCGATAGAGAAAATTTGAAAAAAGTCAACGAATAAATCCGTTTCGCTTTAATAGTTTCAAAAATAGAATTTAATTTACAGAATTTTGGAGGAACATAAAATTTCATATAGACTCAATTTTCTCTAATGGGACGCGTTTTATATAAAAATTTTCAATCAGAAAATGATCCGGAAATTCATAGAGTTTAATTGCGATGTTTTTTCTTCAAATTTGGAAAGGTAAAAGTATTCAAAAAATTTAACTCATTTCTTTTTCCGATTCCGTGTGTTAATTGACGCTTTTTTTAATTGTCCGTTGGTTCTGTTTATAGTGTATGTATATATTCCTGCAAAAATTGAAGCTGATGATGTTTTCACTAATTGAACGGTGTTTAATGGTGCTTAATGGTTTGCCTCATTTTCTGTCTACTATCTAGCCATGTTATCTTTGTGATGTATGCGTTGCACTTGTGTCAAATTTGAAATGCGAGTTTTGAAATGCAGTGAGCTGCGAGTTTTCGAAAATGAAAGAATTTTCAGTATAACAAACAAAAATTTCAAAATGACGCATCTAGGCAAGATTTTCTGGTATTATTGCAAAAGGTCATTGTTGTGTCATAAAGCGTAGGTGATGCGGGGGAATAGTTCTATTTTTTTCACTTTTATTGTGTTTGTGAAATTAAACTTTGCCTCTGTGTTTATATTGTCGCCTCACATGGTGAAGTTATAGCAAAGTTTGAACAGCTAGAAGGTCCTCTTTTTTACCCATACAACATCAATATGTTTAAATGGGTTATTATTAGGTGTGGCGCGCAGACAGGAGTGGAGTGGTGCAAAAAGTGAAGGCGAGAGAGGTTGTTCCAGGAGATGTGGTGGAGATATGTGTCGGGGACAAAGTGCCAGCCGATCTCCGTCTCATCAACATCAAGTCCACAACTCTTTCAATCGACCAGTCCATTCTCACAGGTATTCCCTCGCAACGAGTGAAAAAAATTGTTTTTGGTGGAAACCGGACGGTTGAGTGTCGGACCTAGGATGACCAAAAGGGCCATATTTATCTAATGCTCTGTACTGGCCGTTAAAAGTCGATATTTGAAATTAAAGTTGAATTTTAAATTATTTGCCTGAGCTTTTGCCTTTTTACACTTGCGAGCGTGTAGAATATTGGCATGAACATAAAAGACATAAAGTTTCCACAGAAAAAAAGTCCCAAAATATGTGTACGTCAAAAAAGATGCATTGATATTCGGTGAAACTTGTTTCTGGTTAAAAGAACAGCCAGAAATTAATTTTGTATTCAATCTTCAAATTTTGATACATATTCACATTCTTAATTTCTTTCGTCTGTATTTAGGAGAGAGTGTGAGCGTTATCAAACACACAGATCCTATAGACGATCTCAAGGCTGTCAATCAGGATAAAAAGAACATCCTCTTCTCGGTAGGAATATAACATGATAATGTTTTCAAGTTCCGAGCAATCTGTTTGATATAAATAAATATTTTCCTAGTATTTTTTTGCAATAGCGGTTCTTTTAGCGTAGGGTAGCGGAGTTTAAAAGGCTTTGAGAAATACCCCTTCGAATTGCACGCTTTCGAGTTCGACCGAATTCAAATTGTCAGGAAAAAAGTTTACTTTCAGTTCATGTGTAATTCAACCGAAAAAAAGCTAAGACGCCAAAACTAAATCGATTTTATTTTACCAAACAGGTTCAGCAAGTTTTTTTCTAAACTAAATTTTGAATTTTTATATCATCGATTTATTTTATAAATTTAGTAGAACTATGTTGTTAGAGCACATGTTTATGTAACAGGGTACCAATGTAGCAGGAGGCAAGGCTCTGGGAGTGGTTATTGGCACTGGATTGATGACAGAGATTGGCAAGATCAGAGAGCAAATGGTAGCTACTGAAGAAGCTAAGACGCCACTTCAGATCAAGATCGACGAATTCGGACAATCTCTCTCAAAGGTCAGTTCTAATTTCTTCAAGCGCAAACTATTTTTTGATTAATTTGCGTCGTGCTGGTCATACCTTTTTTTTTAATTTGGCAAATTTATGTTTTTAAGGGCATTTAGCTAAAATATCAAATATACGAAAAATGACTTTGCTTAAAAGAGTTGTATTTTTGCCTGATTCATAGTTTTTATTTTACAAAAATTATGATGCACGTAGCATTTCAATTATTTGTTTCTATTAGGTCATAACCCTGATATGCATCTCGGTATGGGCTATCAACATAGGCCACTTCAACGACCCAGCGCACGGAGGTTCATGGATCAAAGGAGCCATCTACTACTTCAAAATAGCAGTGGCCTTAGCTGTTGCAGCTATTCCTGAGGGACTTCCAGCTGTGATCACGACATGTCTGGCTCTGGGTACGAGAAGAATGGCGAAGAAAAACGCAATTGTGAGAAGTCTGCCTTCAGTGGAGACTCTAGGATGCACTTCAGTGATTTGTTCAGACAAGACGGGAACGTTGACTACGAATCAGATGTCTGTTAGCAAGGTCAGACATGCATTTTATTTTGCCATATTTGCTGGTACTGGCAATCATAGCTTCTGCTAGGTGCACCATGTAATAGACATCATACATGAAATTCCCAAAAATTCCTAATTGGTTCATATTTTGCGGTAATTTGATACACTTTATGATCAAGAGAAATTCGCTAAACTAAGTTTCAAAAAAAGTAATCGAATCTTGTCATCTGTGTTTGCTTTAGGACGTGGCAATATTACCTACGGCGAAAATAAAAGAATGATGTATTTTCATTTTAAGGTAGAAAAATGGTCGAGTCGAACAGCTCCCAGTATGTTGTGCATTGCCCGTCGAGGGCGCTTCCAACATATTTGGGGCAATCTTTTTAGTTCTACAAACTCCGCTATTGAACTTTCAGTCGTGAAAACAAGCCATCAAATTTTCAAGCCCTGGTTTCAGTCAAAACGAAGGAATTGAGTTCTGTTTTTAGTAGTCAATGAACTAGGTGAAGAAATTTATTGAGGGCGTTTTTTCGAAAGTCATAAAAGTTAATTTTTTGTGGTTTGACTTCTGGTTTCTTTTCAAGTTCAATTCGAATTCGTTTGCTGAAAGGAAGGCAAATTACCATCTTCTGATGATAGTTTCAGTTGATATAAAATGGTCTTGAATGAAGATGTTTTTGTGCAGATGTTCGTGTTTGATGATGTGGTTGCGGGTGCGAGTGGGGATGCACCCTCGTTCCATGAGTTCTCAATCAGTGGGGAGACATTCGAGCCCAAGGGAGACATCACCATGCGGGGTCCAGGAGGGGGAGGGGGCAGAACTGTGAATGTAGATGACTATCCTGCCCTGAGGGAACTGGCAACGATATGCTCACTGTGTAATGATGCGTCGCTGGACTATAACCAAGTAGGAAATTATTCAATATACTGATGGTTGATGTACTTAATAATTTAGGGAAAGTAAATGCTGTATTCCTATCATAGTTGCGGTGGAATATTTTAAAAAACGTGTTTTTACCAATAGTGAGTTAGTATGGGTCGGTCAGATGTAGCTAGTTTTTTTTTAACATTTACAAAATTGATATTTTTGTTGTTTTGTAGGGCAAGGGACTGTATGAGAAAGTAGGCGAGGCAACTGAGACTGCTCTGTATGTTTTGGCGGAGAAGATGAATGTCTACAACTCAGATGTGCGAAGACTGACTACCAGCGATAGGTACAATTTAAGACATCACAATTTTGAAATAACCATCTGATTACTTTTTGTGTTTCATGATATTTCATCAGTTAAGTTTCACCCACGTTTGAAACATCTTTTGTCAGTTAACTTAATCAAAATATCAGTGGGGTCTATTTCATCCTCATTCGTGTCTTGAGCCTTGAACAGATTCAGAATTAATTGACGTTGAATTTCTTTTAAAGTTCAGTTCAAATTCATTGTTAAAAGGAAAGCAAATTACGCTCTCCTATAGAGAAAGGCTAATGGAGCGAAAAAAGAGTGACTGACATTTAGGTTCAAAAGTGCATTTTAATTATCAGATTCAGTTGAAATTTCCTATTCCAGTTCTCTCAAAATGGGCTTGTGCAATCAAAAAGGTCTATCAAAATACATTCAAAATTCAAAGAGCGGTAGGATTGTATATCTTTTTTCGTAGGTGTATATAAAAAAGTTTCCATGAGTTAATTCGGCACTTTTTTAGCTGTCTCATTTGCTCTCACAATAGTTTTTATGTTTCCTTGTAGAGATTATTTGACTCTTTGTCAAGTTCTGTTATCGTTTTGTAGATGCCATGCGTGCAACCGTGTGATCCGGGAGCAGTACGAGAAGGAATTCACTCTGGAGTTCAGTCGGGACAGGAAGTCCATGTCTGTGTACTGTGCACCCAAGAGGGTCACCTCCTCCGACCACCTGTTCGATGGACCCAAAATGTTCATTAAGGGCGCCCCCGAGGGAGTTATCGACAGGTAACGTACATGATCGTTTAGATGCGTTTACTGGACTTCTGAAAATTGACATGGAATTTCTTATGCAATTCTAGTCTTCAGGTCGTTAGCACTAGAGTATATTTTTTGTTCGCACGTTTGTTGGTAAAAGCTGGATAGTAAATGTGGTTTTCCGATTATTCTTGCTTGAAACTAAAATAAAAACTCTGAATGAATATTGAACTGTTTGATGCAACCTTATTAATTAGCTGGCTGAATGCTCAAGTAAAGTAATCCAAACAATTAACGTGCTGCTGTTGATGAGTATTTGCTTGAATGCTATCAGGCGTCACAGCCAGTGTATGTGCAATTTTGTACGAGAAATTTGAAAACATGACAAAGCTAAAGTTAAATTTATCATGTTTCAGGTGTTCGTACGTGCGTATCGGTACTTCTCGCGAGCAACTAACTGACGAAATGAAGAAAAGTATAATGGAGAAGGTGTTGGAGTATGGAACCGGTAGAGATACTCTTCGCTGTCTCGCTCTGGCCACAGCTGATGATCCAGTTGACAAAGATGACATGATACTCACGGATTCAACCAAGTTCGCAAGCTACGAGGTTAGATACCGTGAAAACTGTAATGGTACAATCTTAGCCTGGACTTGGAGTGAAATTAAATTATAATGGCTTGGCTCTCAACCAAATTGCTGCTATAATCGTCATTTTTTAATTGCTGTGCAAATTGGGGTTATAACAGCAAAACTAAACATGACTGCTCGTGTCAAGGCACAGCTCGTATCATTCTGATGACTGCCGTTTAAAGTAAGTTGATGAGAAAGTTTTTTGATGAAAAATTGATAAAATAATTTTAAAAAATTGGAAAAAGTCAGATTTTTTCAATATTTGTTATCCTTCATCCTATGCTCACACATACAATGGAAAGACAAAGTGATATATTTTGCGTATGGTATCGTATAAATAAGATCAAATATCCAGTTGATATATTGAAGTCCGTTTAAAATGGCAAGTTTGTCCGAGTATTCATGGAATTGAATTTTGGAAATCATAGGGTAGTTAACGTTTTTAGCTAGATGTGTAAATATTTGGGTTTGCGAGCAGAAACATATAAGTTCAGTAAGTCCTTTTTTCAACCACTTTTTTATACCTCTTGAAATATATCGACACCCAGAATTCGAATGTAAAAAATATATTCGACCGGCATTTTTTTTACTTTTAGGGTTTTGAAAATTGTCAATTTGCTTGACTAAATTATGCGCGCTCAAAGCGTGAGCTACTTATTTGAGCGCGGCGAATGAATCAAAGAAACTGATCTGAGGCAGGTAATCTAATTGGTCTCAATACTTTATTTCAATTAAAACCAAATTTTATTTTTTAGTAGTTCAAATTTTTTGGAGCTGATTTTCTCTAACAGCATATTTCTGGATTGTCAATCATTTTCCCTTTGCTGTGGATATACTTATGTTAAGTTTGAAAGAATGAAGTAATTTTCTCTTATGTAGGTCATGATGACCTATAATGGTTTGTTTTTGTTCCGACATTTGAAAAATGTGGAGGAACTTTGTGTTCGCGTGTTTTAGTTTTTTTTTGTTTTCCACGCAAAATCAGGTACCAAAAGTAATAATCGAAATGAGTCGACTTATATATCATATTAAAGCCCTTTCAGTCTTAATTCGAATGAAATTTAAAAGTTTTGAAATTTGTTCTGTGTCGAGAAAAACCTGTTTGTAATTTTTTGATTTTTGGTCTAATTTCCAGCTAATGAGGTGAGCGTGCAGCCTTGCAATAGATTATTCAAGTCTAATTTAAGCCGTGAAAACTTTTTCGTTTTTCTTGTCTTTTTTCTATTAAAAGGGTTCACTAATTAGCCTATTTGACTATGACTGTCGAATCTGCCTAATTTGTTTTTTTTTTTCGTTCAGATCTTTTGTTCACACCACGCACAAAAATACGACACTAATTTGAAGAAAAAAAAACGTTTGATATTTTTCACGACTATGGGGGAAGATTCTGTGCAATTTGCATATTTTCACAGCAAGCGGCTATCCTTGTTTTTTTTTTAAAGAAAAAAGTATTTTGTTACGCTCAAATTTGATTTTTCGCGGCTTGACTTATTTGTTTTTTGTTTTTCAAAAGAAAAATCTTTGATTTTGATTGCGCTTGAATTGATTTTCCGCGGTGTGAGTTTTGATTTGTTCTGAAATTCAGTTCAAATTGACTTTGCTCAAAGGAAGATCAATGCAGCTTTCCAATTACGAAAAATCAAATAGCGCGAAAAAAAGGCAAATGACTTCGAAAATGGATATTTGACTGTTTTTTTTTTTACTTTCAGAAAAGTTCGCAGATACCTTTCAGGTTGATGTTATTGGTTCGGTTTGATGTTTTTCAGCCTTTTCTGACTTTCGAATACCAATTCAATTTTTCCGTTTTCAGAGATGAAGAGGTGGAAAATAGACCACATTTCAAAGAATCGCCTATTTTTTTTAAACATACTTGTCTTTTATTTAATTTTTTATCAAAAACAGTCTGAACAATGCATCAAAGGTCAAAGGTTGGAAAAAATATATGCAAACACCATTCATGATTTTCGGCTTGTTTTTAAAGAGTTAGATCTTTGCTTTTTGTTTTTTTAGATCAATTTGTTCGCTCGTGCATTGTTTCGATTCTTCTGATTAATTTTTAATCAAACCGTTTTCGAAAATTTCTCCCAAGATCTTTCACTTTGTCTACATCAAAAGATGTTTTGTGTGCTTCCAATGCATCTCCTAAAATTTTTTTTACGGTCTTTCCTATTCATAACTGCTTAATACTTCATATTCAAAGAGAAGTTGCGATAGTTGCAGTTAAACATGCTTTTGCCGAGACACCGAAATCAATTGTAGAAACAAATATATGGTGTCAAGTTTAACTAAATTGTTTTGGCTGAAAGTTTTGATGCCAAAATGACTGTTGGAGATCAGGGCATTAGCCCCTCTTCTTCTATAATAACGCGTCGCTGATAGTTTTCTTCGTCGCTGATAATTGAGGCCCTTCAAAAATGGTGGTCTGTTAGATAAACCAAATTTTTAAGCTTGCGAATTGCAAGCGTTATCAAATCGGAATTTAGACTTTTTCGGGTTGACAACTAGTTTAACAAAATCAATTGAATCACTTGCTGCTGACATGCTCATTTTAATGAAAATACAAACTTAACTGCTGGGTACTAGTTTCTACTGATATATAGAGAGTTGCAAAAAGTTCGGACAGACAGAATTAATTAAAAATAGCAGCTGTCTGGACATCAACGGAAATTCAAACTGAAATAAACATAACGTCGAAAGTTCATAAAGCAGAGTTTCGCTCAAAACCTATAACTACGGTGGGCAATTGCATCCGAAGCGTCGAATAGTAAACCTTGAAACAGGTAAATTATTGCTCAGGAAAGCTTATGTTTTTTTTGCGATTAGTTTCCAAATTTTGAATGACTTGATCAATTTCACATCCGTTTTTTTTGGGCGTCCTAATCTGTTTTGTTTTTGTTGAAACTAAATCTAGATTTCGATTTTTAAACTAAATTTACTAACTGTTTTATAATAAAAGTTGAATTATCATCGCAGTATTTAAATATTAGGCTAGCATAATGATCGGATAATCGACGATGTCGCATTTTGAACTTGGTCTGACAAAAAATTCAAAGTTGTTCAGCTGCAGATTTTGCATGCAAAAAAGCGTCGAAAAGCACTGATTGCTCATTTTAATTAATTCTATCTGTCCGAACTTTTTGCTACTAATTATAGAACACAAAGTATTGTATGTATAATTTTGATATTAATTTTCTGATGATTTTTTGACTTCATGGTTTTCGACTTAAGCTCTGTCGGTTTAGTTTCCAAATTCTGTAGTTCTTTTGCATACGCTACTTTATAGATACTGTGGATCCTAGGTGGGCGTTACATGCAATTTTGTACAACGTGATTTTTTTAAGAAAAAATTTCGGCTGAGTTTCATGTTATTGGCTGTCGGTTTTAATTCTGTCGGCCTATCTACCGATTTTTTTTCCTTAAAATGTCCGGAATAACTTTCGAGTTCGATAAAATTTTAGCACCAATATTTGAATGGCCGAAGTCAACCGCACTAGGAACTCTGAAATTTTTAAATTAATTTAAACGTGGAACAATTACTTTTTAAAAAAAATCACTTCTTTCATTTGTAACAGCATTCGAAGTTCTGTTAGCTAATTATTGAGCTTCATAGTGCTTTCATCCTACAGTTGTTGTATCGCAAGTGGGTATTTCAACTGTGTTTTTTTGCTCTTGATATTTCAAAAATTTGGAAAACGACGCCAGACTTTCGAATATTTGTAAATATCTGAAACATTTTTTTTTCTCTTAGCAGTTGTAACTCATTTTGCGATAATTAAGTAAGTTGAATTTTGGTTGGTGTTTTAGAGTGAGTTAACGCTGATTGGTGTTGTGGGCATGTTGGATCCCCCTCGAAAGGAAGTGAAGGACAGCATCGAACTGTGCAGACAGGCCGGTATCCGAGTGGTCGTCATCACAGGTGAGCATAATCTTGTGAGCAGTTTAGTCTTCTAGGACTGAATTGTTCAACCTAGTTTTGAGTCTTCAAAGCAACAAAAGAATGTGAAAGTTTTGGTATATTAGCGCAATCTAACCATTCCAACTCGCTCTTGATATGAGTTTACTTTAAAAATTGAAGTTTAAAAAGGCTTAATATATTAAGTTTGTTTGGTCGTTTTTTGAACCATCTGGACTACCGCATTTGAGATGGTTAATTATTTGTAATGCGACAAAAGACGACTCACACAGACAACTCGCAATATAAACACCGCCGCAGTCGGGCCAACGTTTTGCGAGCTTCCCAACAAAGGGAAGGACTTTAAACGAAATTTAGAGCCGGTTATCTGAAGCCGAAATTCTTACGTTCCTGACATTTTGCGAGTTGTCTTCTATTGCGAGTTGTAGCGGTACCTTAGTTAGTATTACTATTCGAAATGCATCCATTTCATTCATCTGATGTGCTCACTGCTCGCGCTTGGCAACAAGCAATTTTTCTTGCAAATACCGCCCCCTCCTTAAACCCTTCTTTTTTGACAGCAAAAAAATATTATATACGAAGTTTTTACAGCAGTGCCAAAAATAAACCACACTCGAAGGGTTTTTAAAGCTCATTTGTGGTCTAATATGCATTTTGTTTGATACACTGTGCTCCAAGGGTTTAGATAGGTTCAATTGAAATAATGCATTTTTCATTCAATGCTTGATAGGTGACAACAAGAACACAGCCGAGGCCATCTGCAGACGAATTGGAATATTCACTGAGGATGAAGACACGACAGGCAAAGCATACACGGGGAGGGAGTTTGACGAATTGAGTTTGACAGATCAGAAAAGGGCAGCGTGTAATGCCAGGTTGTTTGCTAGAGTGGAGCCGGCACACAAAAGCAAGATTGTCGAGTACCTGCAAGCCAACGTTAGATCAAGTTTTCTAGAATCAATTTTGCCTAAATAATAATTGAAGAGTAGTTTATTAAGTTTTATCTATTGTTGCCATGAAAATATTAATTTGTTGGCCGTACTTTCGATGGTAATGGACACTTCAAGTGAACTCACATTACTTAAGTAATATGTGATTTGAATTGAGTTCATGCTCGTTTTGTTAATTCAGAATGAGATCTCGGCAATGACAGGAGACGGAGTGAACGACGCGCCTGCACTGAAGAAAGCGGAGATAGGGATAGCGATGGGCAGTGGAACGGAAGTGGCGAAGAGTGCGAGTGAGATGGTGCTAGCTGATGACAACTTCTCGACCATAGTGGCAGCGGTGGAAGAGGGACGGGCTATTTACAACAACATGAAACAGTTCATCAGATACCTTATCTCGTCCAATATTGGAGAGGTACGCAAATAGCTATCGCCTCATTACAGCAGAAGAGACCTTGTTTTTTTTCTAATTCCTTCATTTCGCACAGCTGTTGCGTCTCGGCGAACAAGTGTAGTTTAATTTCATTTTTCAAACAAGTACTGTAAGTTTAAGTGTGTTACCATGTGATTAGTTATTGATAGAAATTACAAGTGTGTCTTCCAATGGGGGGTTCAGTCTTTTTTCAGACTTTTTGTTTTCTAGTTAAGAAAGAAAAATTGTAATTCCGTTTGTTCACTTAGGTCGTTTCGATCTTCCTAACTGCGGCACTTGGTCTTCCGGAGGCACTGATTCCCGTGCAGCTACTGTGGGTAAACCTGGTGACAGACGGACTCCCAGCCACTGCCCTGGGTTTTAACCCACCTGACCTGGACATCATGAACAAACCTCCCAGGAACCCCTCTGAGGGTCTCATCACTGGATGGCTTCTATTCAGATACATGGCTATAGGCAGTGAGTAGAACAAATTGTTAAAATGCATAAATAAGGGGATGGCGACCTTTCGCGACCGACTACATATTGTCGCAATTAGAAACACTCTAATAGTTCCGGGAATCAGTTCTTGAAATGTTACCAATTCTCGTTGTCCAATTAGTAATGCATCGAAAACTGGTAGGTTGGTTGTTTTAACCCTATCTCCTTCTACGCTATATGCTCTTATCATAATTGTAAGTTTTTCAACCCTAATTATTTTGTTATTTCACTTCTTTGGTAAACATGAACCAACTTACTTAAAAGAAGCGGCCACCTTTGATGTCGGCGTTAAAATGCTATCGTTATTTCTTAGGTTTTTTTTATCAAATAACGGCAACATTAAAGCAAATTGACTTCAAGTAATCTCAAACGCGATTCAACAACTTTCAACAAAAATTACTTTGCAGCGCTTTTAAAGAATGCAAAAACGCGAAATAATGATAAGCTCATGGCACTGGTTTTGGACACAGAATGACATCTCGCTGGCTTAAGTTAAATGACTTTTTCTTCAATTAGACTGATGGGGAATTTCGTTGCGTTATTTTCAAAGGTTTAATCAAATTGTCCCTAGTTAAGAGAAATTTTATGTGATCGGTTGAAAATCTGACGATGAAAGAAGAAAGGCGTGAAACATTCACTGAAATTATTTACACAAGCGAAGGGTAGTGTATTAAAACGAAGATTTTTTCTAACCTAAGTCGCAAATAAAAGTGCTCATTTGTTTAAACTTTTGGTATTTTTCAATTTAATCATATTCAAGCCCATTTGAGCATAGGCATTTTAATAGCATATATTGTTGCTTTATTTTTGGCTAGTGTTAGGTCATGTTTAAAAAAAACATATATTATGAAAATATATATGATTTGTTTTTTTTTTTGCAACGCTTTGGAAAATTTTCGCAGTTTTCGCTGAAATTCAGTTTTCTCAAAAACTACTGTACCGTTTTTACCCAAACAAAGCTTGTGTTAAAGTATGAACTCTCTTTTTTCCAACCTAAGTCGCAAATATTGTTGCGACAAAATGTGTTCATTTTAAAATGAAAGTTCATTTTGATCAATAAGCACAGCCAATGCTGAGGATTTTTACACACTATTATATTACAAATAGCACTTTAGCTTCAAGGTATCATAGATCTGTAGCGTAGAAGTAAGGAAGGAGACCCGCGACAAAATGATAGGGTTCGAACCTGGGCAGGGTCGGATGTTCTTGAGGAATTTTTTCTTATACTAGTAGTTAAAATGCGTCCGCTCTATAAATTAAGACATGTTATTTGGTATTTTTTTGTTTTCGAATTTTTGTTTCAACTTTTTGTTTTCAACTGGTCATGCTACTGCGTCATAATTGGCTTGCGTCACTTAGCAATTATGTAAACTCATAATTGGCGTGCGTCTCTTAAAGAAATTTTGTAGACTCAGTTTTATTCATTCAGTTTTTCCCAGTAGCGTTATCTGTCCTATTTTTGCGTGCGTGTATTCCAACTTTGCCTCTGTGTTTAAATTTGCGATCAGCTTAGTGTCTTATACGTACCTTCTTTTTTCTAACCTCACTCGTAAATGAAAGTGTTCACTTTTTGAAAATTTCTTTAGCATTGGAAATTGAATAGCATCTGTTCTCTGCTTTAATTGTTGTTAATGGTACTACCTATTAAGCTAAGTTTGCGGTCTCTTTATGTTTTTCTAGCACTTCGTTGTTTTGGGTATCGTCAAACGTTTTATACAAGCGAAGCGTAGCAATTATTGCGAAGATTTTTTCTAACCTAAGTCGCAAATAAAAGTGTTCATTTGGTGGCACTTTTGTTATATTTCATTTTAATCAGATATAAGCATATTTAAGCATTAGCATTTTAATAGCATATGTTGCTGCTTTTTTGTTTTTGGCTAGTGTTAGGTCCTGTTTAAAAAATATATGTAGTATGAAAATGTATGAGTTTTGTTGTTTTTTTTGCGACGCCTTGGAAGGTTTTTGTTGTTTGTTTTTTTTTGCGACGCTTTGAAAAGTTTTTGCTCTTTTCGCAGAAATTTCATTTTTTACTCTTGCGATCAGCTTATTGGGTTATAAGGAACCTTCCCTTTTTCTAAGCTACTTCGCAAATAAAATCGTTTATTAAAAGTGTTCACTTATTTGAAAGTTTCACTGTAGCATTGGAAATTATATGGCATCTGTTCTCGGCTTTATGTGTAAGTATGTGGCTGAGTGGTTAGTATGTGAGAATCATATTCTTTAGTTTGCAGGGTCCAATCTCTAACATGGACGGTTTTTTACTTATTCGAGGCTAATTTCTAATTTTTCTCATTGAACTTCATAGAGCTGCTTTTTGTCGTGTTCTCGGAAATGCTTAGGAAGCATAGCTTCGTCTGTGTCAAAAAATTGTACCAATGGACAAACCGGCTGGGTTTTTTGTGTCTGCATATTTTGCTAGTCTCTTTTCATTTCACCCAACGTTCTACGGCCTCCGAAAATTTCAGTACGGGGATTTTTGACTTTTATATATTTTTGACGTTTTGGTTAATTTTTAAAACTTTTCTCAAATACTACCCTGTCAAATTGTAGATTAAGGGCTTAATCAAAAGCAAAAACCAGTTAAGTGAATCTTCCCGGCGTGAGCGGCTATGCCCTGCTTTTTGAAAGAAAAAATTGTGGCCTTGGAAAATGTCCATTTTTTGAAATTTTGCCGTTTTTTTTAAACTTTTTTCTTCAAAAACTAACCTGCTGATTCACCCTATTTTTTTTAGAAAAGCCGATATGGAGTTCGGGAAAAACCATTTTTTGAAATTTTTAACGTTTTTAAAGCAATTTCATCAATATTATCTAACTAAATCTGATGCTTAAGGTTCAGTTTAAAATCAGGGTGTGACAATTTTCCGGCATAAGAGGCTATTCCCGTACTTTAAAAGAAAATTTAATGGATCTAGAAAAGGTCTAAGTTTAGTTTTTTTTATCGATTTTCGGAGTCTTTTTGGACTTTTCGAAAACTACCCAGCCAAATCTGAAATAAAGAGTTTAATTGAAAGAGCGAGTAGTAGTTTGCTTTTCAATTAATCAGCTAATCTCCCGTTTCAGCAGAGAAATTTTGTGGCTTTTGCATAAAGTCCTTTTTTTGAAGTTTTGAAAATTCTGCATGTTGTATCAGTACAATGTGATTTAAAATATTGAAGCAGGTACACCCAGCATTAGCTGGGCTTCTAGTTTACTTCTTCCATTTGATCGTCGCGCAGATGCGAGGACGTGAGTGTCAGTCTTAATCGTTAGGTCGGAGATTCAGATCCGGAATATTGAAATAGTTTTATTTTTTTGCTCGAACTTTTGCTGCTTTGTTTTGGCTAGTGTTAGTAGAATTACAAGCATTACTGGAGCAGTTGTGAGAGCAGAACGTGATACTCCTACTCTCAAAAGTTGTATTCACATTTTTTCTCGAGGAGTAATTTTAATCTTTTTCTTAAAATCTTTTTCATTTGCCTGTTTAGAGCTCTTTTTTGCATTTTTATCGCTTGTCTTTGCGAAGCGCAGTTTCACCTCTGTGTGAATTTCTTGATCAGTTTTCGAGTTATATGTTTTACCACTAGATATATCAAGGTTGTGATCACGACGTTTTTCAATGGGCTGGTCACTGTTTTCGAACCTAAGCCGCACATATTTGTTCATTTTCTGTGTTGCTTGATTACCATATATGCTCAATTACAATATATGCTAAGTTACAATCGATGCTGAAAACATTAATACAGGCAATTGTAGTTTTGTGCTTCTGAAAAACTCTAATGCGGAGCTCGAAATTAGAGATTTTGTCGTTTGAAAATTGCCATTTTAACCAATTTTTTTATATTCAATGCGCACTGTTTAACCGCGTTGCCTAGTTTGTTACGCTTGTAATCAGCCTGCGTTTTCAAATTGGATTTAAGACTTTTTTCAGGTTCACAACCTGTTTAACAATTAATTTGAATCACACGTAACAGAAGGTGCGCTACCTTAAGGTGCTGAATTTTTTGAAAATTCAAATAAAAGAGCTGGTAATTAATACTAGTACTAATTAACAAGTACTAGATAAAGTAATTTTAATAGTACTCTTGATATTGCAGTTTTTTCTTTAAAAAAAATATCAGTTGTCAGTCTATTATTATAGCCTTAATTTGTTCAGGCTCAAATTTATTTTTTTCTGGTTTGACTTTTGATTTCTTTCAAGTTAAGTTAATTTCTTTTGTAAAAGAGAGAAAACTTCACAATCGAACAGCAAAAGTATAAAGGTCACGAAAATTGTGATCGACTTCTAGTTTTAAAATTAGATTTTCAGATTTCGCAGCGGAATAAAAGTTTTACCTATTGACCCAGTTTCTTCAAATTGAGTTATTTGTATCAAAAAGTGTCAATGATAGATTGATCTAAATTTTGACGAGTTTTAGAGCCATTTATTTTCCACTTGAAATTCGAAACATTGTATGCATACTTGCGAAATATCCATGTTAATTAATTTTGCGAAAGCAAATCTTTTCTAATTGGGAACAAAACTTTTTCCATCAACAAATTTATCTTACAAATGTTTTGAAGTTATTTAACTCTGTGATAGTGAATTCACAGTCATATTTCGAGCATGTCTGATTTTCAAGTTTTGTTGTATTAGGAATTTTATTGTGAGTTTCAGTTTTTTAGGAATTTAATTCATACTGGATAGCTCGAAGTTTATTCTGATTTTTTCTGGGTCAATGGTGGCCGGGCCCACTTTTTTTCCATAAATATCGTTTCAATGCTTTTCTTATGGCTATCAATTGTCTTTTTTGACATGTTTTCTTCCTAGTAATTTCTTTCGAGTAGAAAATTTCTATAATTTTGGAATAATTTCTTTGACTAAGTTGCTATTGACTAATTTTTCGAGGGCCATCTTGCCATGCTAGGTTTGGGTTTGGCTCAGCTCCGCCTTTGTATAAACTATTCAGCAACACAATTTCTTTGTTCAGTCTACGTGGGAATGGGTACAGTTGGAGCCTCTGTGTGGTGGTTCATGTTCTACAGCGAAGGACCACAATTAAACTGGTACCACCTCACCCACCACCTCCAGTGCAGCACCGACAAGGAGAACTTCGTGGGAGTGCCGTGTGACATATTCGATGACCCCCACCACATGACAATGGCCCTGTCTGTCTTAGTCACGATTGAGATGTGCAACGCAGTCAACAGGTTAGCCCTCCTTATTTACTGAATATTTCTAGAAAGCTGTCTCGTTTTTTCTTGAGAATACAAGATTACCTTACTAATGTAGCTACTTTAATTTCAGGCGTTGAAATATAAATTCATGATGTGAAGTTAAATTCATTGATAAGTTTCAATCTTAATCGATGCTTAGGCTTGCGATTAGCAAGCGTTAAACATTCAAAGCTAATATTCATCTAGTATTTATAGAGCGGTCTGCTCGTGAGTTGACCAAGCAATTAAGTTTGAATATTAAATGAGCTAAATTGAGAGCTCTGGTATTGATGACATGTTGAACTTACTTTTGGTAACTGCCTCAGTCAGTGTGATGTAATGTTAATTTAGTTTGAGTGAGAACCAGAGTCTGGTGGCTATGCCCCCCTGGATCAATCCCTCTCTCATGGCAGCCATCGTCCTCTCCATGGCCCTCCATTTCGTCATACTCTACACGCCCTTCTTAGCCGTGAGTCATCTCTCATAACTCTATTTAATTTCAACCGGGTACTTGACTTCCCTCCAGTAAATAACTTCGCTCACAAAATGGTCAAAAATATAAATGGTGCAAATAAGTTCAGTTCATAATGAATTCAAATTTCTTTGCGTCTCAACCGCCACACTTGGTCTGTAGGTAAAGAATACGCCTGGGACGGCAAATGAATCTGACAGGACCCGTTTTTTTTAAAACGAAATATTCCGTGTCAAAATAATTGTCGGCTTATTATTTGTCTCTTTATGTTTTGTGGGCTTATATTTTTGCTTGTGTATGCGAAGTGCAACTTCGCCTCTGCGTTAAATTTTTCTCGCTCAAATTTGATTTTTCGCGGTTTGGTTTTACATTTAGTTTCAAGTGCAATACAAATCATTTGCTAAAAGAAGGCAACATACGCTCTCCCATACCCATTACCAGTGTGCGAGGTGCAAAAAAAAGTGTTAATGACTTTTTTCAGTAGTGGATTTTTTTCTTAGATTTCCCAGCGGAATAAGAACTTTACGTATTGATTAATTATACTCAATTTGAGTTGATTTTATCAAGTGTCAATAGTAAAATGTTCTTGAAATTCAAAGAGCTTTAAGCTAATATATTTTTCCACTTCGAAAATTGAAGTTTTTTCCACTTCGAAAGTTGAAATTTTCCAACTGCGTGTGGGTTACGTTTGTGCGGATCAACTTAATCTCATTGTTGTAGCTTTGTTTAGACCTATGTTGTAATTAAAGCTCAAAATCCGCACTCCGACAATAAGAGTGTCGGCTATTTCCTGTGTTAGAGAGCTGAATACCTTTTCTCAGTGGGTATAACCAATATTTTAAGTTCGTTTGACATCGTTGTGTGCTTGTTGCGACCACTGAAAGTCAGGCAGGAACAATGTCTTCGGGTGTTTTTTCTTTTTATTTCCATTGCAAGTTAAGATTTTATAAATAATAATCGGAATGGGTGGAGTGATATATCATATAAAAGCCCTTTCAAGTATGTTTCGAACGACGTCGAGAAGTATCATTTGAAGTTTTAGTCTATCTTCGAGCATTTCAAGCGAGCGAGTAGCTTTTATAAAAGAAGATTAATTTTTCATTTAAGTAGTAAAAAAAACTTAGTTTTAATATAGGAAAACTAGTTTTGCAAGCTTCATTTAGCGCTTCCTTGGTATAATTTTTTAAAATTTGATAAGTGTTTCATAAATTACATCACACACAAAAAAAAACATTTTTTTTTTGGTCGGAACATTTTGTGCTACTTTACTTGCACAGCTGTCGGCTATTCTTGTTGTTCCGACCATTTGTTTTTTAGGTTTTTTCATTTCCACGCAAGACTAGGAACCAAAAATAATCATCGGATTGGGTCAAATGAAACTGATGTATCATAGTAAATCTTGCAAATTTTTCAAAAAAATGTCTTAGTGTTGAGAAAAACAGGTTTGAAGTTTTGGTTTTTCCTGAATTCGAGCGAATAAAGCGAGCGAGCAGGCTTTCATTAGCTTATTTTACTAGCTTACAATAGCTTAATTTGAGCCGTGAAAACTTAGTTTTACTCCAGTATAAAGAGTTTTTAGTGCCTTTTTGGAATCAGAAACTTCAAAAATTCAAAAAAAAAAACTGCTAATAAAAATTGAAAAAACTCATTTCTTTTCATTTTTTGTTTTTCTGGTCATTTTCTCTAAAAATTATTGTCCAATTTGTTTATTTTACTATGACTGTCGAATATGCCTGAGCTCTAGTTTTTCGGTTAGATCTTTTTTATCACATCACGCAAAAAAAATGACACTAATTTGAAATTTTTTTAAATTTAAGACTATGGTGGGAACATTCGGTGCTACTTGCACAGTAGTCGGTTATTTTTGTTAAAGTTGTTCTTTTTTGTTTAGACGGTGTTCCAAATCACGCCTCTAAACTTAACAGAATGGCTGGCAGTGATAAAGATATCTCTTCCGGTTATTCTTCTAGACGAATTGCTCAAACTAGTTGCCAGACGCATCACAGAAGGTAACAGCAATTATTCCACGAGTGGTAAAAAAGGAAGTTGTGCCAGTGGGGATTGTTTTTCTGGCCTGCACTGGCTAGTGCTAATGGTAGCGGTATACGCTGCTATGGTCTACTACATACCATGAAATGTGTGCACCAATCATCAATGTCTGTGCCTGTGTTGTTCTGACCAAATAATCTACATAATCTACTCAGTACTAGCACTCATCCGAAACCTAACCATCATTCCAAAGTTCCTTTAACCAACAGAGACAAGACCACCCAAACATTCCTACCTCAGCTCATATCTGACGTGAAAGCATCATCAGAAACTGACCAACACCAATCTCACAATTAACAACTTCACAAATGACATGTAAGCCTCACCACCGGAAGACCAAAATAACAGCTACAGACATGAGTGTGAATACATAACGTGTGTGGTTCTAAACAGCTGAATGAAAGATTTGGCGTGAGTTAAGGAGGATTGTGTTGCAAAGCACTTAATAAACTTTACTCAACGAATAATGAACGTAATCGACATTGACATTCGGGGAAATCGGTTTGCACGCATCAATAATAACTTTACTTAAAAAGGACGTAATTTATTAACACGATCTTATATAGTGTCTATTTATATTTATGAATGTGATCTAATTGCTTTTTATTTGATCTTTTTCTTCGCAGAAGTGGCGCTATCGATTTGAATATTACTGCCAAAGGCACCACTTGGTTAATTTATAACTAATATAACTAAATTATTATTGACTAGCCCCACCGTATTTTTGAAGGGAGAAAATAAAAATTGATTTTGGTGAAGAAAGGTCTGTTCCGTTTTCTACATGGATTAGCGCACTGCATTGTGCGATGAATTGAGGTTGCGTTTACGAATTGAGATTGTGCCTGGGCAATATCATAGTGATAATTAGTTTGGCTCACAACATATACAATGACTCTTTATGCAGTACACTGTTGCAGTATTAAAATAATTTGGTAATCATATCACGTGTGAGATATATTGTGCTCAGAGCACCTGTTGTTTGTACTGGTATTGATTTAAACTTACAAATTATCTTTAATTTTAATCATCCTCAAATGTGAAGTCTCAGCTCTTTTTTTTATTATAGCCCCCTCCTTTAGCCCAAGTAGCAAAAATAATGACTCATTGCACTGTGATTTTTGTATCATGGGGGTTATAAATGGAAAGAGCCCGAACCTGTAAATCAATCCTTTCCCTCTCACTCAAATACAACGAATCATTTGACCTGACCCCCGCCCGAAACAAAAAGCAATTTTATCATTCCAAACATAGCTGGAGTTGAATAGCGTTCGAATTCATGTGACGTGGCTTAACGTAAGAACTTAAAGGATAGACAAGTGGTCCAATAAGCTTTCAGAGAAGTTAGGTCAAGTTATGCACTTATCTATGTCAATACAATACCATTGCAGCGTAGCTAGTTGGTTCGAAGTTTTGAGAGGATATCTTGAAGACTGGTTCTCATCTTTCTGAAAAGCAAACAGAAAAACGAAGCATGTTCCAGACAATTTCACTTTAAGGTGGCATATAAATTGAGCCTAAAGCGGTTATATGAACGATTTGGTTTTAAGTTAAATCATGTGCATGTATGATATTTTCTCTACTCGTGGTACCATCTTAAAACAGTGTTAATCATGGTTCAATGGTTGAAAAGTTACAATCAATCAAGAGTCAATTACATGTGAACTCGATCGATTGTAGCGTCCTAACGGGGTTTCGATTTTGTATGAAGGGTTCCGAAGGAAATAATATGTTTTCTAGAAGTGTTTCCTGAATTTGTTTGACTATTCTATAGCTGAAATACTTGTTTTCATGTCCAGATCCAAAGATTGTTTGGCCGTTGGTGCTAACGTAAGACCAAAATGAATAGTGTATGCAATTATCAAAAACAAAACTACGAAGATTGAAAGGCAACAGTAGGGGGTTCTAGCTGAAATGGCGAAGCAGCTCTTGCACGCTAATCTTTCTAACATTATTCCAAAACTAGGGCAAATATGTCATTTCGATCCGGCGTTTTGCTTCGATTTGTTTCTTTGCCGTGAGCAGGACTCAAATCTTCATTTCAAATACATTCAAAAGGTGCCACTAGTATATCACCGCTTGAGGTCCTTTGTTGGTTATTATTCTTAGGAGCTACTTGTCGTCTTGTGTTGCTATAGCGTAAATTAAGGAAGGTAAAAGTTGCTGCAGTGGTGTAAGAGTAGAGATTAGGATTGGTAGTTATTAGTTTGAGACGACGGAATTGTTTGCTTGAGTGTGGTTGCTCAACTTCTTGGGACTAACAGTTCTTGGTATTTGAGGTTAAGTCCATGTGTTGCAGTGTGGTGTGTTCGACACTAAATGTATGCGTATGCCATGAGAAGAATGGATTTGAAAAACGAATATCATGCTCGTATGCAGGAGTTTCAACTTATCTTTTATTAGTTTAATAAATAGATTTTGCAGACTTCTCAGCGCAGTTATAGATCAAAAGGAAAGATTTCATGCATTGACAAGGTATAAGAATCAATAGAATCAGGTTTTTGAATAATTCAGTGCTTATTTAGTACAAAATAAATTTCAAAGAGAAGGCATCTTCCCAATGTTCGAACATCGAAGAGCTTTCAAAAATATTCCTCTTCCATGTTTTTCGCTCGAATGCATATAATACGACTAGTAACTATTGACAATACATCAATAAAAATTGCCCCTAAATCAGAGGTTCGAGGCCTATGTAGAATTAGATTCGAGTCCTAAGTTAAAAAAATAATTAAAACCTGTAGGCAATTTCAAAGCGCGACCAGACGTTCAGCCGCGCTCTCCCTTTCCTTCCTTTTTGACTTCTCTGGTACTCCATGCGAACTAAACCTGACCAACCATTCATCATTCCATTACCATCCTTATGCTTGAACGGCACCCATAAGCGCTGATTTTAGAACACGATGCAGTAATTAACAATGTATGTTGCAATTATCACTTTCGATACTAGCTTTATATATACTGACTAGGGATTGGTAGTAGCAATTAGATATTAATAATAATAAATAGACAGCTGCAAAAATTTAAGAGATGGCTTTCGAAGAACTTTTGTCGAGCTTTTTCTGACAGATTTGAAAAAGACGTGTCTCATAAGTTTGAAAAATAATTTAAAAATTTTTGCAGCTGTCTATGAGAACTATATTCCCAAACTGGTGGCTGAAATGTTATCTTATCTACCCTGATGTAATGTGGTGTGATGCTAGTCAAGTGCCTATTTTTTCATTTTATATCGCATAACAAACCAAAACAGACAAAAACCAGCAGACTAAAATGGCGAAGATGATCCTTTCTATGCAGTGCAGTAGACTTTTATATGAAATTTTAAGCGGAACTAAGTGCAGTTTAAGTTAAAGTCCTATTTAATTAATATCCTAATGTATATAGCAGCTAATGCAAAAATGATCCAATTCACATTCTATGCGGCTGTGACAATTTTTCCAAGAGAATCATTAAGAGCCGAATTTTCATGGATCTTCGGTATCGTAGTAGTTACTCCCGAATGCGTATTCGGTAATTTTCGTTGCGAAAAATCTGTGGAAGTTTTCGAGATGAACTTTATACACCAGAGACTAATCTTTGTGAACCAAATTAAAGCGGTAATCGAATGTGGATTTTTTGTTAGACGTGTTGCGGCTTATTAACTGATTTATTTACAAATAATTAGCCTCTCTATTGCTCCTCCCCCTCTTCTTTGCACTGTGAGTGGGAGTTGATAGGGGAGGGTGCAATAGACGAAGACTGAAGTTAAATTTTGTTGTGAGACTTAATTCGGTTCTCTTATCCTATTATCTTGTTTACAAATATATTGTGTTTTGCTCAAGATTCAATTCAAATGTTCCTAACTGAACGCGTTTTAATGCATGTCAAATCAAAATAACAGCAACCATTGTTTAAAATAACGGCATTTTGATGGAAATAACAGATAACTTTGTTAATTTTGATGGCTAAAAACAGTGGTCGAACGGCAACGAACTGTCAATAGGACTTTAATATTGTGCGTTTGAATTACTAGTAGTGAGTTTATTTAGGGGTACACATTATTACAAAAAAATCTCAGATGATATGACCAAAAATATCTAGTCATCCTGTGAGTTGTCCCTTTGCCCTTACGAAGACGGTAACTTTTGCAAATGAAGTTTGATTGACTAAGTTGAGTTGAGTTTGTTCAAACTATATGCGTTTATTACGCTGGTGATTTTTTTCCCTGAAAAAAGCCATTAAAGTTCTTTCGGTAATGCAATTAAGAGTCGATGAACGTAGTGAAGACTCTTATGTAGGCCGTGATGGTTTTTTTTCCTTTTTTTAAGGAAAAGTATTAAAAATTGTTCAGGCTCAAATTCATTTTTCCTTGGTTTGGCTTCTGATTTTTAAAATGAAGGTAAATTCATTTCTTTTGTTTAAAGGAATGCAAACTCCACTATGGAAAAGCAAAAGTGTAAAAGTCAAGAATAACGTGATCGACTTCTCATTTCGAAAGGCGTATTTAATTATCGAATTTCCATGCGCATTAAAAGTTTTAATTGTGATCGACTTTTCTCAAACTGGGTAAATTTTATTTAAAAAGTGTCAATTATAAATGCAACGAGCTCTAAGATCATCCATTTGTTCTTGGAAATTTGAAAGTTGAGAATTTTTCAAAAATAGAAAACAACTCAGTTTTTCTGTTTATTTGCGTTCATCGACTGTTTTCCAACTGTCTGTTGGCTATGTTATTATACTGTACGGTTATTGAGTAATGGGCTTTTAAGAGTAGTTTGATAGAAAATATGGACCGTATCTACATTTATACAAAGACTGATTTCTGAAACGTATGAAGTATGTTATAAGTTTCTCAGTCAGTTTTTTGTCCGAATGCTTGCATATCATTTTGTTACGTTAGCAGCTGATTTCAGAGCAGTAAAAACCCAGTAAAAAACTAATAACTGAAGAGACAAAAACCAAATGAAAGGAATTTTTTCTGCTTATCTGGAACACTCAGATTTAAGCACGGTGAGAATCGAAGCTCGAAAAAATGTGCAAAAAATTCAATACTCTCAGACAGGAATTACTCTTTCAAAATTGTCAGAAAAGAATTTAGGGCAAAAGATCCCATAATTAAAGCCGCTGTTAGCCATTCCAAAGAAAAACAAAACTCAACTGATAGCAATTTCAGCGATGGTTGTTTTTGAACGCCCAGAAAAATTACTGTCAGAACCATCACATACCAAAAAAATTAAGATTAAATACCTGACAACAGCTTTTTCTTCTGACCGATAAGCGAAAAGTTTCGTGAAGAATATAAAACACCAAAACCGTCTCACCGAATTAAAACCATTGATAGTGTTTCAAAAACCGACAATACAGATTTACAGTTATTTACACGGAACAAGAGCGGTTCTTTACGCCACTTGCCAACTCTTAAAAACACAGAATTGTTAGTTAACCGACAGAAAAAGGAGACGAAATCCACCAGGTCGAAGAACTTGATTGAAAATTTTTTTAGAACAAGACCTGCCAAATTTTTCCTTATTTTATATCGATTTGTCATAAATTCAATTTATTTTGAGAAAGCATGTCAGAAAAGGATTCGCGCGTGTTGCGGTCTAAGAATTTTGCGGTCTAAGAATTTTGCGCGTGTTGCGGTCTAAGAAACAATCTTTCAACCCTATTTGCAACCCTCTTCGATTATCGAACCAAACAAAGAGTACTTTTGCTTCAACATATCAGTACCAAAAGCATTTGAATTATTTTTAATGAAGATTTTGGCACTATGAATTAGTTTTGGAATTACAAGCTGAAGTTCGCTTCACTTATCATACCTACTAGAACATTTTTTGTCCGATTGTTTTTGTATACTTTATCAGTACGGTCACTGCTCGGATTTTATTTGGGCAAAAGCATTCAAGTAATAATACAAAAAAAAACATTAAATGCCCTTTAATTGTTTTTTTACAGTTTGAGACAAAATATTCAAAGTTTTGCGTATAATTTTTTTACTATAATAGTATTTAAGCGAAAAAACAAAGAAACATGCATTGATTTATAAAGTGCATTATTAAAATTAGATTCGAAGTCTCATCAACTGATTTATATGTGAAAGGCAGTGACCCACTTGGTGTAACGCGCCACCCTTACTCAGTAAAAAGAGAAAATAATAGATTATAATGGATTTTTATTGTCAGTCTCCATAAATTTCAAAGAGAACTGATTATAATCGATTAAAAATGGATTATGATGTTACTTCTTTTCGAAACAAAAAACCCATTATAACCGATTATAATCGATTAGAATCCGTTTTTATTCAAAAATTGTCATCGCTTCATTTCGCTTTATTTTCATTTTGTTTTGTGTGCTTTTCAGTTCGATTTTTTTCTTACTGTTTACTGTTTACTTTCAGTTGGATTTTTTTCTTACTGTTTACTGTTTACTTTCTTAATGTTTACTGCAAGAACGGAATTTGGCGGGGGTGGACGCCTTTTTTCAGGGATTCGACCCCCTGCCTACCCAAAGGGTTCCCCCTTTGCACTGTTTTGAGATATTCATATTTGGTGATGGACCCTTTGGCCTTTGGCGCCAAAAAAAACTAATTTTGAAGGGGAGCGCGCGCCAAAAAAACGCGATTTCTTGGTGAAATTTTTTTCAAAAAATGTCTTACAAAAGCCTTTTTTGGCCTGTTTCTTCAAAGTTTTGCCTACGGCGAAAAAAGGTCTTTTAAATGCTTTGGGAGAGCTCGGAAAATCAATTTTGCCGACCTTAATAAAAGTTGTTAAATTTTTTGAAAATCCGCCTCCTGCCTTCGAGAAAATCTCATATCCGCCCCTGGTGTACTGATTTGTTACTTTTTAATGAATTTTATTGTGTTTTCATGCAGAATAGTTAAATTATAAACCATTATGTTTCATTTTTCTGGTAAATAATATTTTGATTGAAAAAGGGATTATAATCTATTACAATAGATAAAGATAGATAATAAGAGATTTTCGGAAAAATTATAATCAATTTTAGTTTATCATAATTTATTAAATTGTCACCAAAAATTTTGTCTTTATAATGGATTATAAATCGTTTAAACATCTTAAATTGGCGCGTATAATTAATTTTAATTTTGGTAAAAGTACGATTATAATTATAATATAATCGATTATTTTCTCTTTTTACTGAGTGCGGGCAGTTTGAGGTTCCAAAAACCTACTGTATTAGTCGCAATTCTTGTCAATTTGTTTCATTTCTTTTTTAACGATCAATTCAATCTCCTTTTGCTTTTAATTTTTGATGATTTTTCGGCTCCCTGGTTTTCTATTGAAATTTGATCTGTTAGGTTTCCAAGTGCGAAAATTGAAACCGCGATTTTCTGAAATTGAAATGACATTAAATAAAAAACTACTTTTTTTTAGTCGATCAAAAGTTACGTCAAAACATTCATTTCAATTGCTGTCACAGTCATATTTAAACTGATTCTTATGTGCAGCCCAACAAAAAATAATGAGAGTATGATTTTCTCAAAACTGCATAAAAATATTGATTTCGTTTTTAAAAAATATCATTTTAGCGCAAAGTTTTAGAATTTGTACCATCCTTAAATTTCGTTGAGCTAAATCAATGACTCAATTTGGTCAGAAAATGAACTGTTAGTTTTGTCGTTGTTTTTTAACTGATCAAACTAAGACAAAATTTTGCTCCCGAGTTGCACAAAAGGCAACTCTGTCAAAAATTTTGTCCAATTTGTAGCAACGTTGACCATTTTTTAACAATTTTTGTTTCACGCCAATCCAATTTGAGAAAATTGACGTTTGAGTTTCTTATTTTATTCCTTTTGTCATACAATCCTTGCAAGTTTATGGTTTAAAAAAAATTAGAGCATCAAATTGGGAAGCGTTAACATATCGGAACATCAATTTTTTCAGCAGGTTCATTTCAAACGACCGACTTGTTTTGAAGCTGTTTTGATACCCGTTTTTAAAATCTCCTAACTGTTTATCAGATTTTTCACTAATTTTTTGTTACAATGTTTTTTTATTTTTTTTCGGCTCAACTATTGGTATAATGCCTTAGTTGGTTTGTATTGGTTTGATTGAGGGGCTAACATAATTTTTCATGCAAATGTGTGTTTACCTTACGTTGAAATGCAAAACTTCGAAAATAGAGTTTTCACAACTAACTTGATCAATAAAGTTTTAGGCTCAAAGTGCGTGCACCCGAGTTTTGACATTTTTTTTCTTCATTTTGCTTCTATCAAGCTTAGATAGTTGTGCGAAATTTCACTCTTGTGCAATTGTTGCTTAATTTTCAGCCTCCTCCTGTCAGCTAAATGCATTTTGGATAACGGTAATTTAATTCTGGGACCAACTTTCATTTTTTTAGTCTTACAATGCTGATTTAAATTAACCGGACAAAACGCGTTAAACTTGAAATTTAAAACCCGTTTTTCTCAAATTGGATTGAGTTTAGGTGAAAATTTATGAAGACAAAATTTGCTTAAAATTTTAGCAGAATTAATATGGTGTAAAATATTTTGCGAAATTCGGACCCGAAATTTTACCCCAAAACCCCAAAAATGGGTCATTTTGGCTTTTCTTAGTTAATCAAAAATTACGCCAAAAATACCCAGTCGATCACAGACATAATTATATCAAAGTGAGCCCCTTACGTAGACCAACAAACTTTGAGAGGGCATAACCTCCAATAAATTGTATCAAAAAATTTTATTTTTGTTTGATAGACAAAAAAGATCGTTTTTACTATATAAAATACCAACTTTTTACTTAAAAACTATTTTTAAACAATTTGTATTTTTTTGGAGAAAATACCCTTCTTAAAATTTTTTGGGCTACGTAAGGGGCTCACTTTGATGTAATTATGTCTGTGATC